CCCCCCCCCCCCCCCCCCCGAAACTCCTCTCCTGCGCAGGCATTCAGCAAATATTTGCCTGTGGGGTCGAGATATTAATAAGCACTTTTCGGTCGCCTTTTATAGCCGGGGCTCTCTGGCGGCGCTGCCTGCCGGGGCTGGGCAGGTGAGCGTGGCTGTACCTGGCAGCAGGGGGGCCGTGCCCTCCAGTCCCCCGGAGGGCTGGGGCTGCCCCGCCGGTGACACGGGCAGTCGGGGCCGAAGGGGACACCGGGGCGACCGCGGGAGTAGCCGCTCCGCTGAGGACGGACACGTCGTTTCAATTTAATCTCATTTAAAAAGACGTAACTAATAAATTTGTATGGACGGGGCTGCCGGAGACGTAAAGCAGAGTCGATAGTGGTTCAATCCCATTGAACCCTATTGAAAACCATGACAACAAGGAACAAGCTCCGATTTATCCCGGAGAGTTAAAGCACATTGTGGGAAGGCGTCAATCACCTATTATTCCAGATCTGAACAAATGCAAAATCTTGACTGGAACAAATGCTTCCAACAGGTCCGGGACATAGGGCTACATTTCCCTTTTGTTCACGGCCTAGCAGTTGGCATGTATTTGTGCTCCCCTCGCTCCGACCACCCAGGACGGCTGGGAGGCTGTGCTCGGAGCTGGGAGATAACTACTGTCACCAGGCACGCTTGATAGGTGGTTGCAGTAATCACGGCCTGGGAATCGTTTATATGGAGCCTGTCCAGTCCCGAAGAAATATGCGGGAAGGAGGCCAAATGAAGCCTTGTGCCCCGTTCATCTCGCCCACAAATCTCGCCGATATAAATCTCACTTCTCCCCTGTCGTTATTGCTCTATTGACATTTTCCCCGAGAATTGTAACTGCTCGCGGGAGCGACACCCAGACCAGGGCGGGGAGGGGCGGTGGTGGCCGGGGGCACGCGGGCAGCAGGTCTGGGGGACGACAGAGGGACTGGAGAGATATAATCTATACACAATAGCTTATAGATGCTTGTTTGGACAGGGAAATTAGAACCGACAAAGAGGCCGGAGAGAAGAGTATCTCCGCGTGTATCTGAGTTTCCCTTCGCAGACCCGCAGTGCGTTCACCGCGGGCTTTCGCGACTTTCCCCCGTCGGGGATGAGCTGCGGGGAGCCTCGGCCCGCCTTCAAAGGAAAGCTGATCTGCTGGGGAGAGGCTGGGTGTCTCCTTCCCTCCTCCAGGCTTTGCTCCATCCCAGCGGACTCGCCTCCCAGCGCTTTCCGAGGCGTGCGCCTGTCCCTCCGCTCTGGGGGAGGCCGCTGGGAGCGCGTCCCGCTGCGGTCCCACGGCCTGACCCACTCTGCGGGTGAAACATCGCCCCCATCGGTCACTTCCACTGGGGACCGAGCCCTGCCGCTGCGGCTTTGCACTGGGACGCTGGACCGCTTGTTTCTGTACCGTACTTGCTTATGAGTCCTCGGCGGCCACCGAGGCTGGGCAAAGCCCGGCCGCAGCTTCGCGGGGGGACGGGCCCGCCCGGTGGAAGGATGAGGGGAGGTGAAGCCGGGAGAAGGCGCTTGTCCCGCCGAGATGCCGCGGGGCGTCCCCGAATCGTGGCCAGACAGTGTCACCACCCTCCTCCCGGGGGCCGCCGGTCCTCAGCTTCGTTTGCTGCCTCTTTCGGCAGATGAAGCGGCGGTCGGCGGGGACGGCGCGGATAAATAGACGCGCCGTGTTTGATCTTTTCTCCCTCTCCCCAGCTGGAGTCGTTTCAGTCACTCACACCCCGCCCGAGGGGATATTCCCTTGGTTAGTACAACTCAAAATGGTGATTGGAAAAAAAAAAAAAATAATAATAACCCCTACCCCCCTCCCGTGTCCTTCTTATGGACCGAGTATGCCAAGCTCTCGCCATCATCCTTCTCGAGAAAAAGGTGCACCTTCCATCTGCCATGCCCAGGAGACGCAAAAAAACCCATCCCAGAGATCCCATTCCTTAACGCACCCACCCGCCAGCCTTCCCCCTCCGAGAGCTCAGCCGAGGTGTGAAAAATGCCCCGTTGAGGGTAGGAAACCTGCCAACAACAAGAAGAGAATTTGCGGTAGCTCTGCAAACAGCCCGGCAAATAAAACAAATAACGACTTAAATTCTTTCCAGATTTGAAGAAAGAGGCGGGGGGGGGGGGGGAATAAAGAGGGAGAAATGGGGAGGGGGCTCTCGGCATGCTCTGCGGATGTCCTGGGAGGATTCACTTTGTCTGCGGATAGAAGGGACGCTGGTGGCTTCGGTGGCGGATGGAGGGGGGTGGTTGTTGGTCATCCACATGCCACCCAAGATGTTATTCACTGCTAACAATTACCATTATCTGTCCCCACTTTTGGCTAATCAGACAGAATATGTAATGATGACGCCTGTTTCCTGCTGTCTTTGGGAGGTAACGGGTTATTCTCTCATGGGGGTGGCGGGAGGGGGGGTTACACCTACTCCCATTAGGGCTTTAGCACTTGACTAATTCAGGTACTTAGCATCCTATAGACAGGGACGGTTTGAAAGCAGGCAGTGTTTGCAGTGGGGAGGACTGTTTATATAAACAGGACACCTCTGTAAACGACACTAATATTTGGGGTTAGGTGGCGATGGAAAGGAAGGTCCTCTTGAGCCGAGAGATTCCCCAGTAGCTGGACGCAATCCTTTCCTCGCAGCTCTTAAGGAAGGGGGTTCGGTTTGGGGTGGTATTTTTTTGGGGAGTGTGCGCAACCTACCATGGCCACATCTGGCAGGATCAGTTTTACAGTGAGGAGCATTTTGGATTTACCAGAGCATGATGCTCATAGCATAAAGCAAGCCTCTGACCATCACCACTCAGCGGAGAACTACACCGGCTCGCCGTATCGAGGGTGGATAGAAACGGACAGAAATCACTATCCCTGTGAGTATAAAACGGACAGGAATTCGCCATCTCCGCACAATTATCTTTCATTTGTTTCCCCCCTTCCTTTGAGGAAGATGCGAAGCAGTGAACTGACAGTGTACATAGCCTAGAGGACCGGGGGAATCGAGGCTGGGAATTTTATAAAATATTACTGAAATGCAACAACGAAACAGCAGGAATGTCCCGGCCACGATCTTAGGACAGAAAAGAGGGTTTGGTTTTTCCTGTGGGTTATTTTGGGAGGTTTTGGGTTGTTTTTTGTGGTTTTTGGGGGGTTTATTTTGGTAGGTGTGTGGATGTTCCCAGCTATGGCAGAACCCAAAACCTCAGGCTGCGTTCACCTCTCTCTGTGCGTTTATCGCTTCAGCCCGCTTCCCAGATATTTTTTTTACCCCCGTTTCACTGTTGCAAGAAATCCTGTTTTTTTGTGCTGGAGGGTTTGAGGCCACCCCACGCTCGGCAGAGGAAATCTGAGCACCCCCCGGTGCCTCGCCTCCCCGAGCTGCCGCCGAGCGCCTATATCCATGCACCTGCCACGGCGGCGGGCAGGCTGCAGCTCGCAAACCCAGCTGTGCAGCACATTGGTCGCACCTCGCACACATAACTGGTGCCGCAGATACACCAAACAGGCGTTTGTTATATACCCGTGTGTGCGCAGCGGGACATGGTCCTTTGAATGGGTGCGGGAACACCACCGGGATAAGTTAAATATTAAGGTAATCGAGCTGCGAGTGAAAAACAGTAACGAAAGGACGGGGCAGCCGCATGTTCCTATTTCATTACGCAGGGAACACGAGGGCTGGCAGCCCGCAGTCCTCGGGCTGTGCGCGGCGGAGCGGCCGTGCCCCTGCGGGGATTGCCGGCCGGGAAAAGCGTGTCCCCCGCGGGAGAACGGCCCGCTCCGTCCCGTGGGCTAGGTTTAATGTCTTCGTGGGGTTAGCTCACATCTCTCGTTGACTGTTGGCATTAATCCGGCCCTGTAGACAGCCGGGGCTCTCCCTGCGAGAGGCGTTTCAGCTCTCGGCGGCCTCCTCGATGCCTGCCCCGCTCCCCGGCCCCGGCCGCTCCCTCTCTCTAACCCACTCGCTGTCCCCAGCTTCCGACGAGAGCGGCCCGGAGATGAGTTTGCCCGACTCCACCCAAAGGTCGCTCCCCGCCCGCGGCTCGGAGGCCGAGGAGAAGAAGAAGAAGCGGCGGGTTCTCTTCTCCAAGGCGCAGACGCTGGAGCTGGAGCGGCGGTTCCGGCAGCAGCGATACCTTTCGGCGCCGGAGCGGGAGCAGCTGGCCCGGCTGCTCAGCCTCACCCCCACGCAGGTGAAGATCTGGTTCCAGAACCACCGCTACAAGATGAAGCGGGCGCGAAGCGAGGGCCCCGGCAGCCCCCAGCCGCGCCCGCCCGCCCTGCTGCGCCGGGTGGTGGTGCCGGTGCTGGTGCGGGACGGGGAGCCCTGCCGCGGCTGCCCCGCCAGTCCTCCGGCACCCCCAGCGCGCCCCAAGCTGGGCTGTGCCCTGGCGGGATGCAGCGCCCAGGCCTCCCTCGCCCTGCAGGGCTACCGAGCCTGTCCGCCCGCCGCCGCCCTCGGCGTCTTCCCCGCGTACCAGCACTTAGCGCATCCCGCCGTGGTCTCCTGGGGATGGTGACAGCGGCACTCAGCCCTCCGGGGCCGGACTCATCCCACGGGCGGCTCGCCCCAGCCCCGGGCTGCAGCGCGGGGAAGGCGCCGGGGCACGGCGCGGGCGGGCCGGGCGGAGCGCGGCTCCGGGGCGGCGGCAGAACGGGACCGAGCTGGCCGGGACCCAGCTGGCCGGGACCGAGCTGGATGGGACCGAGCCGTCCGGGGCCACGCTCTCCTACGCCGGCTTCACCCGAGGGCGAGGATGCCGCGTGAGGCGAGAATTTTGTAAAACCTCCTCTCCTCCTCCTCCAGTTCGAGAGATTCCTTGTTAAAAAATAATGATCATCCTAGCGACCTAGTGTGTTTTAAAATAGCTGACTCTTCCAGTGACTAATAAAATGATTTTTGGCAAATAAATTTTTCCCGGCGGAGAAGTGTAGTTTTGACGATTGAGACTCTTCCGTAGGATTGCCTCCTGTGCTATAAAATCTTAAACACTTGTCTCGATGGCTCCAGTAGAATTTGACTTTCAAGCTCGTTTATTTTATCTATACTAGCCGGTAAATGGCAAATAAATTTTGCTGCAAGCATCTCATTGTAAACGCAGATAATTCCTGCGGGAAGCGTGAGGCCGGAGTCTCCCGCTCCCCACGACTTCGTGTTTTAAGCGGCGATGTCTTCCATAGAGCCCCGAAGGCAGGAGGATCCAGAATTAAGCCGATCCTTCCGTTAGCCTGAAACCGTTCCAAATTTCGACTGGAGAAGGATAGCCAAGAGTCTTGTGTTTTTAAACTATTTGATTAACTATCGATTTTATTACTTTGGGGTGAAAATAATAATACATATTTTCTGCCAACCGCCAGTGGGGGAAAAGTCCTGAAACCCCCTACAAAGAGAAACCCAGGTCCCTGAAATAAGGACTAGATGGGCTGCTTCCATGCCTCTGACGGCACCTGCGGACCACGAACGTGGAGGGAATAGCTGGAGCAAGGACCCCCCGGGGACTGATGCAGACAACCTGGCCACCGAGGGAAAGGTGTCGATGGAATGGGACCCGCAGAAGATATTTGAGTGGGGATTTTATTATATATATTTTTTAATTTATTCCCTGGAAGGGGATCATTTTGGACAAGGTATGCCCCTTGGATGTGATGTGCTGCCTCTGCATCCCGGGGAGCCCAAGGACAGCAAAGTTGGGAGGTGCTGCCGTCCGGATGAGGAGGCGACCAAAACACACACCGGTTTCCGTGGGTGATTTTGGCCGCCATCCCCGCCAGAATGGCCCCGCTCTCTCAGCCCTACCTTACCCAGGGCTTCGCACCCTCCACCTGGGCGGCTCGGTGTCGTCTGTGTCCTGGGTGCGGGAGGATCAGACCCAGCTACAGTGCAGGACAGGCTGGGGAGGATGAAGGGACGCCAGTCCTCCCACCTACATCTCCTTCCCTGCTTGGGGAAGCGCAGAGCGCAAGACGGAACCGCTGTTCAGGCCTCTGGGCTGTGCGGGAAGGACCTGGGGAGACATAGCTTCTGTGACACCTGGGTTTGGTTTTGTTAGTTGGTTGGTTCGTTCGTTGTTGGGTTTTGATTTTTTGTTTTGTTGTTGTCTTTCCTCCTCACTTTCCCTTTATTTTTCCTCCTGCCATCCGAATTCTTTTTTTTTTTTTTTTTTTTTCGTCTCAGCTGCTGGCCACCTTGTCTCCCATATGGATGGGGTTATCTTAGAAGAATCTCCCAGAGAATCGCTCCTTAAACCTCCTTTTGTCTTGGAGGTTGAAAAGAGCATTGTTGTGCATGAAAAGGACCTAGACAAAATCCGCACTGTTTCAATTCAGGACTGTTTAATCAGTCCCTAGTGACAATTTTATGGGTTTTAGGTGGGACAATAGCATCTTTTAAAACCTTGTGGCCTTCATGAAAACAAAGGGCTTGAATTTTATGGGCTTACAACTCTAATTAGAACAGTGCCAATGTGTATGGGAGATTATCAAATTTGTATCATAAAACCCCTCTATAATAAATGATTACTGGAAGCTGGGGAGGGGCAGGGGGGAGAAAAGACCCAGACTTCAAGCAATGGACTTTGTCGCATGTAGTTTTAAAAGTACAGATGCTGTTTCCCGTTTTAACCCTTTGCGACCCAGCGATGCAGCAGGATCATCTGTAGAAACAGTGTGATAACGTCATTAGAAAAGGAAACAAAGACAACGGGACAAGACTGCTCTTCCTCAGCACAAATCTACCCTCCATCATCTTGCCTAGTGTTTGCAGCATCTCACCTGGAAGGCTCCTTCCCTGGCTCCATGCTCATCTGAGCTGCTGTCCTGATCAGGAGCCTCCACATGGCCATAAGAAGGCTTCGAAAAATAGGAGGGCTTCCTTAAATTACTGCTTTTATGAGCTACTGTGCAACCAGGTAACGACAGAGGATGTCCCTTCCCAATCCCAGGCTGCATGATTGTCTCTGATCACCAGCTGCAATGTCACCCGATGTGGGTTTCTTCACAAAGAATGTGCGATTTGTGAGTGCTGCCTTTTACCAAGTCCAGGGAACGGGAAAGGTGCAATTCCCGGTCACTGGAAAAGCTAACGAGAGGCTCCTGCAGGGTGTGTGAAGTCATCTCAACAGGGATGCAGGGAAGATGGCAGAGTCATGTTCAAGCATGGAGAGAGAGAAGCAGCCCCCTTAATTTAATGCATACAAGTAGAAAGAAGAATGTATTAAATAATGAGACAATTAAATAGTCTATAGAGGTTTACAGTAAAGTCTTATGAAGAGGATAGGGTGGGACTGAAAATATTATTTTTTCCTGATAGAAACAAATCTGTCTAAACTTTAAGCGCATTTAGCAAGGAAAATAGTCAACTTTACCAGTGGTTAAGCTGTATCTAGGAGATAATTCTTAACAAGTGCCATTGATAACGGCTCCAGGGCAAGAGAAACTTGGCACCTTTCAGTGTATTTTCTGCTACTTTCACTTCTTTTTTTGATAAGGCATGATATCATCTCATTTGTCAGTTTGGATTTTTTTGCCTCCTCCTCAAAGGGGTGAATGCAGTTTCTGTATTTTTCTTTTTCCCCACCGTGTCCCATTGTTACTTTCATCCTGCAAACAGGCCTGTGAATTTCACTGAAACTAATGAATAAGCATACCATGATCAAGACCTAATGCCATATTCAGCTAATGAAAAGCACTGCTAACATCTACAAACATATTCCTGGGTTCTTTATTCTTAGTCAGTAAATAAACTATTGACTTTGCGAAGGCCCAGCCCTGTTTCAGCAGGAGCCCCTGGGCACATGTTTGTTAGCTTAGAACTAAGACATTAAAACAAGTCACCAGATTGCCTCTGTTTTCTGGACAATAGTTCTGAAAGCGCATGTGATCAAGCCTCTTTGTGATACTTCATGAGCAAGCTGAGTGTGCCCCTGCCAATGCACATCCATCATTCGTCTTTGTATATACATACACCATGCATTTTAAAAATCACAGCAGATGAAAAACATCATCTCTGAAGCAGAACTCTGCCATGCTCCAAACTGTCTTGTCACTGACTCAGGAAGGGCTCCCAGCAGCCTTGCAGTATGTTTGTCTTGGTTAATGACCCAACTGGACTGTGTTGTTAACCAAGTGCAGGTCAGATCTGTCAAAACTTTTGGAATTTCATCCCCTTGTACCTTGTAGCATTGGATAGGAATAGGCCTTCCACCCTGGGAGCCCAGCTGATGCTCTAGGATCTCAGTGAGCTCACTTTGCTTTCAGAAACATGTGGTGTCCAACTCTATTTGTGGAGAAACCCAGTTCTGGCTCCTCCTGTACTCAGTGACCTTCACAAGTTGCAGTTCACTGTTTAAGATAGTGTCTTACTGCCCTTGAGTCCCTGATAGCTGCTGCTTCTTGAGAAATGGGAACAGCTAAGATACAAGGAGTAGTTTCTGAACCTTAGAAATGGTACTCAGCCTTTTCTTCAAAAGCCTAGATAGTGCAATATCCTTTTCCTCAGACAGTGCTTCTAACCCCTGAGCATTGGACCAGTCCCATGCATATTGGCCAGCAGTTAGTGAACTCTTTGCAGAATTCTTGCCATGAACAAAGAATTGCAAAACAAAGACTCTACTCCAATTTAGACATTAAAAAAAAAAATCAGACAAAAATTCAAGTGCCACCAGTTTCAGCAATGGCAGAAGGACCCCCATCACCTCATGTCACTTTCAGGAGGCTTCTGACTCACTGCTGGTTTTGTCTGTGATAAAGTTAATTTCCTTACAGCAGCTAGTACGGGTGCTTTGAATTTGTGCTGAAAATGGTGTTGATAATACAGACTTCTTTTTGTTATTGCAGAGCAGTGCTTATACTGCATCATGGTCTTTTCTGTTTTTCATACTGCCCCACCAGCAAGAAGGCTGTGGGTACACAAGGATGTGGGAGGAGACACAGCTGGGACAGCTGATCCCCACTGATCAAAGGGATATCCCATGTCATATGGCATCATGATCGGCATATAAAGCTGCAGGAAGAAGGAGGAAGAGAGGTTGTTCAGAGCTCTGGAATTTGTCTCCCCCAATAATTGTTGTATGTGATGGAGCTCTGATGAGCACTTGCCTTCCCATGAGAAGAAGTGAATGGTTTTGCTTTGTTTGTGTGAGTGACTTTTGTTTTCCCTTTATCTCATTCCATGAATTTTCTCACTTTTTCCTTTCAGTTGTCTCCCCCATCCCCTCAGTGGTAGAATGAGCAACTGGCTGTGTGGTGCTCGGTTGCTGGCTGGAGTTAAACCACGGCACTCAGTTTAAAGTAAACTTCCTGTGGGAAAGGAAACAAAGGAGTTATCCATAGCAGAAAAGTTGCATTATGCTCCTCAAGCACAGAGCTCAAGTAGCTCAGGAGCAGAGGAGCTCAGATCAACAGTAACATTATTAAAATGATTTTAAAAATCACACATCTACTGGGTGTAACAAGCCTAAAAAGGTGTCTGCCTGCCACTAAGAGCAGATTACTGAGTTTAGTGAGCTGAGATAATAGTCAC